ATGAAAAGGGTAATGTTTACCTTTTGTTGATTAGCTAGAAAACATACTTTATCTCAAGGACGTTGAAATTTAATGTCAGAACAAGAATGCAGATTTCCAGTGCCCATCTACTATTCAGGTTCTAGTGTTTTAAAAAAGATGATGAAGCAAGTTAATATTTAGTTTCTGGCAAGAACACCATTGATTACATTTACTTCTCAAAATTTTAGATTATTTTAGTCTGTACATTTCAGATCTGTTAGGTGATTTTTTTTTTCCTTCATCGAGGCATTATGGTGAGAATATAAAATTCTGTAAGATAAATTCAGGACCAACCTTATTTCTTCCAATTTAGAACATAAACTTTAGTTCAGAGAATAATTTATAACAGAAAAGATAAATCATTGAGACTGTTGGACCTTAAAATGTTGTCCCAGTACCTGCTCTAAACATAATCAAATTCATTTTACATTTAGCATTCAACTTGTGTTCTAAGTATAGTTAAGCTCATTTCTTTGTAGCTAAATAAAATGAAAATCAACCTGTTTTTAAAGAAATGATGTTGAGCTAATGAGAGTATTTCAAATAACTAATCTGAGAAAAAATTATTTTGTGACCAGATGTCATCATTTATGGATAAAATATACAAATGAATAAATGTATAAGGAAAACAAAATATAGGTATTCTTCATCACTGAGGAGTTGTGACTACTTAATTGACTTTCACTTAGTAGGCAACAGGGACGTGTCAGCAACCTTTAGAATGCTTAAATAATTTGTATTAATTATAAAGCTACTAAGACGGACTTAATTGTTCTGTCTCATTAGCAGAAAAGGGGTCGGTTTGTTCAAACTTCCAGAAAACTCATTATGAACTATTTAATACACATGTTGCCTTTACTCGTCAATTCTTCAAAGCTTCAGGTAGTACAGTCTTTTGTACTTAAGTTGTGTGAGAGGTCAAATTATGAGAACTGCATTGCAGAAGTGTTATTCCTTGTAGATCTCACTTCAGTGTGGCTATTTACTAATTGTCAGATATCATTTGCATTTATCAAGTGAAGACTTCATCCCATGCTGGAATGTGATATCAATGAAAGTAAAAATAAGATTACATCTTGAGCATTTTATTATGAGCCAGGAAACCTTCTGAGATGATTATATTATCATCCCCAGTTTACAGATGAGATACAGGGAAGTTAAGTAAATTGCCCAATGTCACACAGCTATTAAGGGGCAAAGTTTAAATACAAAATCAGTGGATGTTGTTCCAGATTCCACAATCTGATTTCAGCACTACAGAATACAGCCTCTCAATCCTAGTATTAACATTTCCTTGCTATTATGCTTAAGCAGTCATGAGCAGGTGTTTTGGTAAGTAGACTAAATGAATCTTAAATTGTGTCATAACCCACCAAATCCCTGGTTGCAGAGTTGTATTTTAAGTCTATTGTTTCTTTAATAAACTTGGAAGTGATTTAGGCTTTGATAAAAGCTTCTCTAAAGACTATGCCTTATTTAGGAAAATATATTTTTTGAAAATGTATTAAAAATTTATAACTATGAAAAAATATTGCACCATATGTATCTTTTTAGATGCAAAACTAAGATAAATTCATAAGAGGTGCCTTGATTCATTTACTATCAGTTCCAAAGCACGTTTTTTAAAAAGCAGTCTCTATTATAAACAGGTCCCTGAACTTATGTATTAGTTCTAACAGTTGTTTATATATTTATTTTGTAATGGAGTCTTTCAGGTTTTCTGTATATGGGATTATGTTCTTTGCTAACAGGGACAAACTTTACTTCTTCATTTCCAATTTAGCTGCATTTTATTTTGTTCCTGTTATTGTTGTTGTGTAATTGCTCTGGCTGGGACTTCAAGTACTAAATTGAATAGAAGTGGTGGGAGTAGGCATCCTGCCTTATTCCTGATCTTAGAGGAAAAGCCTTCAGGTTTTCATTGCTGTGTATGATGTTAGCTGAGGGCTTCACATGTGTGGACCTTTTACGTTGTGGTAATTTCCTTCTATTCCTAGTTGGGACATTTCATCATGAAATGGTGCAGAATTTTGTCAAATGCTTTTTCTGTGTCTATTGAGATGATTGTTTGATATTACCCTTTATTCTGTTAATGTGGTTTATCACATTAATTGATTTTTTATGTTGAACTGTCCTTACATCCCAGGGGTAAATTGCATGTGATCATGGTGTATTATTCTTTAATGTGCTGTTAGATTTTGTTTGCTAGTATTTTGTTGAAGATTTTCACATCTATAGTCATCAAAGACATAGCTTGTACTTTTCTTTTTTGGTGTCTGTCTGGCTTTGGTATCAGAATAATGCTGGTCTCATAAAATGTGTTTGAAAACGTTCCTTCCTGTAAGGAAAGTGAAGGAAAATGGTCAGGGCCCCTCAGATGTTCAGAATCTTGCTCAGCATTTGATGTAAATATGCACGTGAGCCCAGGTGTTCCTTGGTTATTGTCTAATGTAATTCCACGTGTGCACTCAGGTGTCCTGGGTTATGGACTTAAGAATAAGGGACAAGTGGCTCTGATCCACAGTGTCCTCCTCGCCCTCCAGGATGCCCCAGGGGAGCCACAGGGAGGCTGCTTTTAGAGGCTGCTGCTGCCGAGGCCCTTGGGACGGACTGTCCAGGAAGCCATAGCTGCCACTGCTGTTGCTGAGCACTGATCTCCTGTCAGCTGCTAACGGCTCCCGGGATCTTCCCCAATTACCTACTGTGGACCTCTGTGTGAGGGGTCTGGTGATCCAGCCTGGCATGTGAGGGGTTTGTGACCCAGTATGTACAACGGGTTTGAAGGGTCTGTGGGCCCTAACCCTTAGCCCTGACAATATAAATGGAAAACTTAGTATAAGTAAAATAATGAAACATTTTGGCTTTAGTTATGAATTGCCTAGATAGACAATTAGCATAGCAATACAATTGTCCATAGCAATTGAGAAGAATTGTTAATCCTTCATTAAATGTTTGGTAAAATTCACTAGTAAAGCTGTCTGGTCCTGGGCTTTTCTTTGTTGTGAGGTTTTGTTTACTAATTAAATCTCCATACTAGTTATAGGCCTATTCAGACTTTCTATGTCTTCATGAGTTAGTCTTAAAACAGGTTCTTATTTAGAACATTCCTGGAGTTGACTATAGTTGCTTCTTTTTTTTTTCCCTATTTTACATTTTTTAAATTAAAAAACTAAAGACAATGAAGGGCAGAACAGAAATATTGTATTGGGCTCAATAAATTACCTGGAGGTAAGATTTAAATTAATCAGTGCAAAATTATTAACTAATTATTAAGATTATTAGCAGCTAAAATGTCTGTTCTGTAAAAGATCAGGCATTATTTCCATTGCATGTAGGATTTTCAGGTATTTCTCATGAATTCAGAGGATCATCTAATCAGAAAGAATAATTCTTTTCATTCAAGAGACCTGTGTTCTCTGTTTGGCTTCAGAAAATATCTAAACTTCTTTTTTTTTTTGGTTGCTTTCTATCCGGCACCTCATTTTTGGCATACCCTGTTGGCATTACCCCTATAGAGAATTTCTAGTAAAGCAGATCATTTTGTTGTGATCCAGAAATACTTTAGTCTGGCTACTAGGTAATGCTCAAAACTCAGCAAATGAGAGTCAAGCACACTATGTTCAAAAGTCCAGTCTTTAAACTCATGAGAGATATTTTTATTCGTGTGTGTGTGTATGTGTGTGTGTTTTAAATGATGTGAACTGTGCATCTTGTGAGTAGGACTGTTTTACTAAAAAGTCTAGTTATGTTGGTTTTTGGCCAGCATTTGGAATAGCTGGGAAAATATCAAATAAAACAACTTTTATCAAAAGGCAAATTAGTTTTTGAAGCTGGTGTTAATTGGCAGTCAAGGTGTTTCATTATGAAGCTGAATTTTTAACAGTTGTTACTTGGTTACTATGAAAACACCAGCCAGAAGAAAACATTGCAGTGTAAAGGATATATCTCCCATCTCTCCCAGTCCCTCTGCCAATGTGTCAATAATGTGAGTCCTGTTTTAAAACACTTATGTGCTGCCTAGAAACTGTGTCTGTGTTGGCTATTTATTCAACATTCAACTTTATTTCTGGGTTAGATGCATATTTCATAATGAATGGGTTCAGGGATTATTACTTTCAAACTGCAGGTGTTGTATTTTTCTATTTTGCAATTCTCTATGTTTGAATGAAACCCAAGACCTTATTAGGAGAACCGTTTTTTCTTTGTAACCTACAGCATAAAGCAAACCATGGGAAATATATAAATTATAACTACAGAGATGATTCTTGTGGATAAAGCCATGAGAAATGTGATGCTTTGTCTATGTGTGGATGTACCTACTGCTGATATTTTTAAAGGAAAAACACCTGAAGGCCATAGGTAGTGAGGTCCAACTGTTTATTCTTCTCTCTAATAGTGAACAGTGTGAAGAATGTTTCTGTCCACGCATAACATATCAAAAGCCCCTGGGAGTGTATATTTTTCCCATTCTGACATTTTATTAGCTGGCAAAAAAAAGATTTGCTCAGTGAGTCCTCAACTTACAAGCAGCAAGGTCTTATATTGTCCTGTCTCTAGTCATCCTTTTAATCTTTATGTTCAGCATCCAGTTTTATGATGACGTATAGAAAACAATCATTTTCTGTGGGTAATGTGGTAAAACTGTTGGTTTAAATGACTTGTCAACAGTTTCCCAGCCAAGTAATTATATGATCATAGTTTTATTGAAGCCTGTGTTATTGATTCTAAGAAGGAAGCATGGCTCTATTTGTTGTCCTTCAAACAAAAAGGTTTTTCTCTTGCCTTGCAAAGTCTCAGCTAGGGTTTTACAGAATAAGATAATGAATGCTTCTGCTGCAGCATGTCACAGGGGAGGCTGGGACAATACTGAACTCATGCACACTGCTGATCCTTGCTTGCTGGGCAACATGTTCACCTGGATTTCTGACAGCTATGTGGGTTCACTAGAGACCTCTGTCATTTTGTTCATCCTGTTGTAGGCAATGGTCGAGACAGTTAACAACCTCCTCCAGCCACAAGCTTTGAATGCATGGAGAGACCTGACTACAAGTGATCAACTACGTGCAGCCACCATGTTGCTTGACACTGTGGAGGAAAGTGCTTTTGTACTGGCTGATAACCTTTTGAAGACTGACATTGTCAGGGAGAACACAGACAATATTAGTAAGTGGCCTTTGTTATACAAAAGGTCCAGACACCCTTGTATAGCAACACAAGGAAAAGAAAAAAGTATTTCTGATGCCCCAGATATGAATGATGCTTTATTTCAATGGAGATGTTATTCTTTTTCTTAAATTAGGAGGGTATCACATGTCATTGGCTTAGAAGAGTCAAAAATATGTATGTTATCCTCCTTAGGATATTTAGGTTGTATTTATTAGCTTAGATCACTTGCAGTGAGGTCTGTTTATTTTACTTTTTAAAATTTTTATATATGTATGTATCTATGTATATATTGTACTATATACAATTCCATCCTCCTAATGAAGGGCTTATGGGTGATTTTAGTTATAATATTACCTTTGAATTATATACTATAAAAAAGTAAGTTGTTTGAATAGAGATGATAAAACAATGTTTTATAATTGAGTTATTTGTCTCATAAAAAGTATTTATCTATTTTTATTGTGGGTTATGATGTAGCTGACAGTTTTATTTCTGAAGATTTGAAAATGCTGTTTCAAATTTATTAGATTTAAAGATAGATCAATGTAGATATGATCATACAGCTCTAGATTATAAAAGGATTTTTACTTAATTCATAAAATAAAAATAATGTTTTGAAAATTAACTTAAATCAAATGACCAAGTATAAGGATTTGGGCTTGAGTTTTAAATTTTAGGCTCTCCGACATTTCTATTATTTACATAATTTTAATAGCTTTTATTTGCTTTATTTTGAAAAAAAGTTAAAATACTAACAATATACTTTCTTAGAGATTGAACTACTATAAACCATGAAAAACAGAACAAAAATTCCAGTGTTTTGATTTCAGAAATATTAGTGATTTAGGAAATTATTGTAGCTTTGGTACATTTCTCAATGAACACTGATATCTCTTTGCTTTTAACAGAGTTGGAAGTTGCAAGGCTGAGCACAGAAGGAAACTTAGAAGACCTAAAATTTCCAGAAAACATAGGCCACGGAAGCACTATCCAGCTTTCTGCAAATACTTTAAAGCAAAATGGCCGAAATGGTAGGTTAGAGTTTAATTTTTAAGTTTGATGGAATTGAACTTGCATCAATTCATTCTCCTTGGCTTTAAATTTTAGATCCACTAAGAGCTCTCACTCTCCAATCTCCATATATTATTTTCTTTCTCCTTCTCTTCTTCCCCCTCCTTTATTATCTACTATATCAACAATATTACAATAATATTTATGCTACAAAATTCTCAATCAGATTTAGAATTTGTTCTGTTATTTTTCAGCTGTCAGAGACTTGAATGTGGAAAATTATAAACACCAAAATCCAGATGATCTTTTTTCCTTGAAAGGAGTAATCTGTTACTGATTTTTCATATTTAGCTTGTAAAATTTTTAATGGAAAGTTTACTTGTAATTATAATATTACATGGGATTTTTTTCTTTACTCAACTTCTTTTTGAGATCATATCTATTTTTGTTTGTTTGCAAAGCATAGAGAAAATTTAAAAGAAGATACTTTTGGAGAATGAAACTGGTAAATATAGGCCAGTTTAGCTTCACTCTAGATTGAATTCACTGAAAATAATTAAAATCCAATAAATAAATGATTTCATAAAGAAAGTATGTCCCAAGATTCACTAATACTAAAATTTTAAAAACATATTTCTCCCTCTGGGAAGTAAGCTCCATGAGAGCAGCCTGGCACATCAACGTACTCAGTAATGATATACTGAAAAGTGAGTAAACTTTTTGCCACAAAGCTCATGAAGATTGAAATATATCTATATTAGTCATATTAATTGGTGTGCTATTTATTTTATTTTTTTTTACTTTATTTTAATTGACATGTGATTGATTATGCATTTTTATGGACTGCAAAGTTGACTGTCAGTAGTTGTGTGCAATATGTGATGGTTAATTCAAGATAGTTAGTTTATTCATCATTAGAATACATAATTATTCTTTGTGTCCATGACCAATTTATCATTAATCCCCCTCTGTCTCCCCCAGCCTTTCACCCTTTCTATTTCTAGTAACAACAGTTCTGTTCTCTCCTAAAAGTTCAATGTATTATTGTGATTGTTGTTTCTTTCTCTCTCTCTCTTTATTTGTTTAATTCAGCTCCCACTTATAAGTGAGGACATGTGGTATTTCTCTTTCTGTGCCTTGGTTGTTTCACTCAACATAGTTTCCTCCAAGCTTATCCATGTTGCTGCAAATGGCAGAATTTCATTGTTTTTTATGACAGAGTAGTATTCCGTTATGTATATATACCACATTTTCCTTATCCAGTCATCCATCAATGGACATTTCTATTGGTTCCATAGCCTGGCTCTTCTAAATAGAGCTGCAATAAGCATAAAAGTGTAGGTATCTCTTCAACCTGATGATATCTCTTCCTTTGGGTATATACCCAGCAGTGGGATTGCTGGATTGTATGAGAGTTCTATCTCTAGTTGTTTAAGGAACCTCCGTACTGTTCTCCACAATGTCTGTACTAATGTACAATCTCACCAACAGTGCAGTGGGGTTCCTGTTTCTCCACATCCTCACCAGCGTTTGTTCTCTGTCTTTTTGATAATAGCCAGTCTAACTGGAGTGAAATGATACCTCAAAGTGGCTTTGATTTGCATTTCCCTGATAATTAGTGATGTTGAACATTTTTTTATATACCTATTAGCCATTTGTATGTCCTTCTTTGAAAAATGTCTATTCAGCTCCTTTGCCCACTTTTTAATCAGATTATTTATTTGGTTACTGTTAAGTTGTTTGAGTTCTTTATATATTCTAGATGTTAATCATTTGTTGGGTTTATAGTTTGCAAATATTTTCTCCCATTCTGTAGTTGTTTTTTCACTCTGTTGATGGTTGTTACCTTTGCTGTGCAGAAGCTTTGTAGTTTGATATAATCCCATTTGTTTATTTTTTTTCTTTTGTTGTCTGCGTTTTTGGAGTCTTATTCATAAAGTCTTTGCCAAGCCCTAAATCCTGGAATGTTTCACCTATGTTTTCATACAGGAATTTTAAAGTTTCAGGTCTTATATGTAAGTCTTTAATGCATTTTGAGTTGACTTTGGTATATGGCAAGAGGTACAGATATAGTTTCATTCTTCTGCATGTGAATATTCAGTTTTCCCAGTACCATTTATAGAAGAGGCTATCCTTTTCCCATTGTGTGTTCTTGGTGCCCTTATCTAAGATCATTTGGCTGTAAATACATGGGTTTATTTCTGGTTTCTTTATTCCATTCCATTGGTCTGAATGTCTGGTGTTTTGTTGTTGTTGTTTTTACAAAGGATGACCAGTAAAAGGATCTGAACCCTTGACTTGGTGTTGTCAGCACCATGCTCTCCCATGTGAGCCATGGGCTGGCCCCTGAGTGTCTGTTTTTATGCCAGTACCATGCCATTTTGGTTACTATATCTTTGTAATATAATTTGAAATCAGGAAGTGTAATGCTTCTGGCTTTATTTTCATTGCTCAGGATTGCTTTGGCTATTCAGGGTCTTTTGTTGTTCCTTGTGAATGTTAGAATTGTTTTTTATAGTTCTCTGAATATTGGTATTTTGATGGAGATCACATTGAATCTCTAGATGGCTTTGGGTAGTATGGACATTTTCACAACATTGATTCTTCCAATTCATGAACAAGGAATGTCTTTGCATCTTTTTTTGTCCTCTGTAACTTCTTTCAGCAATGATTTGTAGTTCTCATTCTAGAGATCTTTCATCTTCTTGATTAAATTTATTCCTAGGTATTTAGTTGGGGGAATGAGTATTGTAAATGGGCTTCCTTTCTTGATTTTTATTTTTCTGCTAGTTCATTTTTTGAGTATAAAATGTGACTGATTTTTGTATATTGATTTCATATCCTACAGCATTACTAAATTTCTTTGTCAGTTCTATGAGTCTTTTGGTGGAGTTTCTTGGGTTTCTATATATAGGATCATGTCATCTGCAAGCAAGGACAATTTGATTTCGTCTTTTCCTGTTTGGATGCCCTTTATTTCTTTCTATTGTCTGATTGCTCTGGCAAATACTTCCAGTACTGTGTTGAATAAGAGTGGTGAGAGTGGGCATCCTTGTCTTGTTCTTGTTCTTAAAGGAAAAGCTGAATGCTTTTCCCCATGCAGGATGATATTGGCAATGGGTTTGTAATATATGGCTTTTATTGTATTGAGATACATTCCTTCTATATCCAATTTGTTGAGAGTCTTTATCATGAAGGAATGCTGAATTTTGTTAAATGATTTTTCTGCATCTATTGAGATGATTATATGGTTTTTGTTCTTGATTTTGCTGGTGTAGTGTATCCCATTTACTGATTTGTGAAGTCTCCTTTTTCATTTCTGATTTTTGTTATTTTGGTCTTCTCTCTTGTTTTTTTTAGTTAGTCTTACTAATGATTGGTCTATTTTATTTATCTTCTCAAAAACTAACATTTTGTTTCATTGATCTTCTGTATTGTGCTTTTGGTCTGTATTTCATTTAGTTTTGCTCTGATTTTAATTATTTCTTTCTGTCTGGTAACTTAGGGATTGAATTGTTCTTGTTTTCTTTGAGGTTAGGTTGTTTATTTGAAGGCTTTCTATTCTTTTGATGTAAGCATTTATTGCAATAAACTTTCCTCTTAGTACTGCTTTTGCAGTATCCCATAGATTTTGATATGATGTGTCATTATTATTAGTTTCAGGAAATTTTTTGAATTCCTATTTAAATACTTTTTGGCCCCATAGGTCATTCAGGAGCATGTTGTTTAATTTCCATGTATTTGTATGATTTCTAAAGTTTCTCTTGGTATTGATTTCTAGTTTTAATCCATTGTGGCCTGAGAAGATGCTTGAAATGACTTCAGTTTTTCAAAATTTGTTGAGACTTGATTTGTGCCCCAATATGTGGTTGCTCTTGGAGAATGTTTCATGTGCTAATGAGAAGAATGTATATTCTCTAGTTGTTGGCTGAAGTTTTCTGTATAAGTCCACCAAGTCTCATTGGTCTAATGTGTAGTTTAAATCCTGTGTTTCTCTTTTGTTTTGTTGCCAGGATGATCTGTACAATGCTGAGAGAGCAGTGTTCAGGTCCCCTAGTGCCACTGAATTAGAGTCTCTCTCTCTCTCTCTTTAGGTATAATATTGTTTGCTTTATATATCTGGGTGCACCAATGTTGAGTGCATGTATATTTATGATTGTTACATCTTCTTGGATAGATCCATTTATCATTATATAATACCAGTCTTTGTCTCTTTTTAAAGTTTTTGGCTTAAAGTCTATTTTATCTGATATAAGAATAGCTATTCCTGCTTGTTTTTGGTTTCCATTTGTGTGGTATATCTTTTTCCATCTAATTTTCCACTATTAATCTTTGTCCTTTTTTTTCCACTATTAGTCATCTTTTTCCACTCTTTGTGTGAGTCTTTACAGGCGAAGTGAGTTTCTTATAGGCAGCATATAGTTGGGTCTAGTTCTTTAATCCATCCGGTCATTCTTTGTCTTTTGAATGGAGAGTTCAAATCCATCTATCTTTAGGGTTGTTATTGAAAGGTATTGTCTAACTCCTGTCATTCAATTGTTTTTGTGTGGTTGTTTTAAGTATCTTTTGTTTCTTTCTTTCCCTGTTGTTTGTCTTCAGAGTTTGTTGATTTTTTGAGATGGTGTGATATTGTTTTTTTTTTTTCTCTTTTTCATTTGCTTCTGTACTCTACCAGTGGGATTTATTTCTCCTGTATTCATTGTTATGATTATTGTTTTCTCAATTCCTGATGCAGGATTCCTTGAGGATTTCTTGTAGAGCTGGTCGTGTTTGCTAAATTAGTGTATAGTAGTTTTTTAAATGTTAAATTTAAGCATTAATTTTGGAATCAAAACAATTTATATGTGACTAATGGCACTGGTAAAACAAGGTAGGATGGCAACATCACGCCATCCCAAGTGAAAATTGGTCTGAATTATTGCCAATTATAAGTCAATTAAAGTAAAAGTTGTTAATATCAACAAGAAAAATGCATGGATCTTCTTAAGTTTAGCCTTCTGAAAATTAGCACCTTGTACTAAATCTAGAGTAAAAGAAGTAAAATTAAATTCTATGCTGTAACATATAAGAAGTGTTTAGTGAATTATTGTTATTTGCTTAGGGCTATGTTAACAGATACAGATTAGACAGGAATGTCCTCTTCCTTTATGAAGCTCTCATCATAATCTCTTTTCTGGATCACTGAAAGGATAATGCATAGCTCATAGCATCACTGACGAGGGTGTAGAATCAAGCCTAGAAAGTATATTAGAGCAGGGAGGCTGACAGCAGCCAGTACCATATCACAGAATCATTGCTGTGATATGCCACTGTTACTGCAAGTGAACTCTGGGTGCAGTAACTGCTGCTGCTGCTGCTGCAGCAGCAGCTGCACCTCCTGCTTGCTTGTGTCAGTAGCTCCTCATCTGAAGTCTGAGGCTACTGCATCTGATTGGATGTATCCTGCTGAGGTGCCCACAAAAGCCTTTTTGCAAGGCAAGCTGGGATAGCAAGTACAGTGTATATCTATTTATTTTGTGTTTATAAATCCCTGACAGTAAGGAATTTCCCATCATGGGAGCACAATTTAGATGTTGGACAGCCTCCCTTCCTTAAAAAAAAAAATATATATATATATATATATATATATATATA